GAAACACCCTGTATATATATATATATATATATATATATATATATATTATATTATATATATATATATATAAGCGCGTAACTACGTAAGAAGGTTTATATACGAAGACCGAACATCAAATGTCATTTGATGGCGTGTTAACAAATATATAATACGTGTATTAAAATGTTTTTGTACTTGGGTTTTTTTTTTGTTTCAGCGAATCGTTATCGTTGAAATTTTAAACGCTCTCTTTTAAACGCGTAATAATTTAGTTCAATTCTCGTAACAATCCTTCGATTACACACACACACACACACTCGACATGTCGAAAAGCCTCAATGTTAAAAAAAAAAAGTAACACGCCACATCGTTCGGTGATTTATATGTTTATCCTTCATGGGTCGCTGTTGGATGCAAAGAAGAAACGGTGGTTGGAGTCCGAAGCTTCCTTCCCCTCTTTCCGCGCGTGCGAACAAACCAACAGGCGCGTTGCGCGAAAATACAAAAAAAAAAAGTAACGTTATAAAAAAAATAAAAAAAAAACACTCGTCTTCTAACATTTATTAATTGAATTACACAATTCGCGCGGAAACAAAACGAGATTAAATAAAGGAGGAAACAGAACGATTCATTCGTCGAATGATTTTTCCGAATGGCGGCGTGTTTGTTGAATCCATTTCCGCGCTCGACGAAGATCGGTCTGTTACTCTTCTTGTTGCTCAAGCACCTTGGTTTTGTATCAACTAACTAACTTCGATTCGCGCGTCGTAAGTAAAAAAAAAAAAAAAACAAAGCGAACATTATCTAATTAATTAACGACTGATAAGCGAAATAGTAAGAGAGAGGTATATGATGGTTAACTGCGTAATTTTAATTGTGTGAATGATTTAATTGCTTCGTGCCCGTGTCACAAAAAAAAAAAAAGAAAAAAAACAAAAAAAGAAAAATAGAAAATAATAATCGCACGATTCGCACTCGAGCTTCTCTCTTATGTAAGTACAACACGCGTTTCCCGATCATTTTTAAGCCCGATGTGTTTGCGAATCGAATTTCTTCAATCTCCCAATTTTTATTTCGGTTAACAAACTGAGTTCGGATCGAAACGAACACTATAGGGTTTTCGTTCGCAAATATAATATTTCGACATAAGTTTTCGCAATCGATGTAAAATTTGTCTCCTCCGATGACGGTGACTGCCACGAGGCCCACATAGGCCGGGGTTGCGCCGAGCAAACGGCGTGCGAGTTCTCTCCTCGCATTTTTTTTTTTTTATCGATCAAACTTAACCCTCGCAAATATTGCGACGAAAATGCACGTGTTTTTTTTTTTTTTTTGATTTGGAAATAATCGCTGGTGGGGTGAGCGGTTTTCAATTTTTTTTTTTTTAAGCTGGATGGAATAAAAACAAATGATCGCGACGAATTAGTTTGCGATCGACAAAAATTTTGGCGCGGCAGTCAACGTGTTGTTGTTAATAATAATGTAAAATCTATACGCAATACAATTTCAAGACAATTAAGGGTCTGGCTAATTATGTTTTTTTTTAACACTCGCGTCGTTCATCAAGCGACCGCTTTTGTTTGATCGGTCTCCTCAGACGTTGTTTCAAATTTTTCAACCAGACCAGACCGGAGAGTTGATCGAATGATCGATCGGAGTCCTCGCGCGAACACTGACAAAAAAAAAAAAAAAAACAAATTTGTTCGCGTCGCTGATGTTTTACAATTAGCCAGAAGCGTGTCGGTCGTGTGAATAAGTCGCTTGTGAAACGCTTTTAAAATTGTTATTTTAGCGAAGATTGAAACGGGTCGCACACACAACGCAGTGTGTTTGCGCGAGCGTGTACGTGTCATCAGTCAAATTACGAGACGAAATCGCAAGAGACAAACGCGCCCAGCTGTGCGCGATTCTCTGTCGTACACCACAATCGGCGTAAATAATAATAATAATAATAATAATAATAATAATAATAATAATAATAATAATAATAATAATATATCGGCTTCCTCCGAGATCGAGAATCGTCGAATTTCGAACTCGCTGTTTTTCAAAAAAAAAAAACGTAACGCCGAAAGCGCGACGGATGACAAACATAAAAAAAAAAAAAAAAACAATTCGATAATTCTCGAGACGAAGGAAGCGCGCTCTCTCTCGCGCCGAGTTTGGGTTGCGCGCGTGCGTATTGTATCGCGTTGTAATATAATCGTAATAATCGTTATAGAAAAAATTCGATCTGAACATGATGAAAATATGATGTATTTCCGCTTGTTTGTTCATTTAAACATCGAAAAACGTTATTAATACTCAGGTAATTAGTTTACTTAAAACTTAAGCTGTATATATATATATATATACGGAATGTCGCTCAACTAACCGCTCGATATTTTCAACACGAATCGAATTCTTTTGAACATTCCGAGATACGAAAGGTGGAGGATGTAACAATGTTGTCAGGTTGCAAACAATTATAGAGATTACATAAAAAAAAAAAAAAACAAAAGAAAAAAAAAACAAGTCACGAAGATGGTTCGGCAACGTTAAAATCGCTTCTCACACGTTTTGTCTGCAACGAACGATCACGTTGCGTATATACAGAAACTTAAAAAAAAAAGTTTCTGTTTTTTTAAGTTTCTTTAACTAAGTAAAGTTACTTTTTTTTTTTTTTTCTTTTTTTTTTTTAATCTCTATTTGCGCTATTCGCGCGCATTCGAATGGTCACGGAAAACAAACTTACTCGCTCCTTACTGTCTTATCCAAGCGCTTGTCTGCGATCGGTAATCTCTGATCGGTTTAAAAACTACATACGGTCGAACCTCCCAAAACGTATACAAATCCGCTCTCGAAACGTATATTTTTTCGTTTATCGTTTTTTTCCCACCACCGAGTATATGATTACAATCGAAACTGGTAGCTAGCGCGAGACGAATTTTATATCAAGTAAGTCCTCGCACGCGTGAGGGGAATAGGGGAAAGGGATATATACGTTTTGGGAGGCTCGTCGGTCCCGGACGTGTGTATTAATCAATCGTTTTTCATACGCGCATTAAGACCGTTTCTTAGAACGTTTCAAAACATCCACTCTGAAAAAAATAAAAAAAACATCGGGCGGTTATTGTTCAGTACATTCTGTACGCAAAGTCGAATCTAGCGCTTTTGCAGCGCGACTCGCGTCATCAAGAAAAGACGCGCGCGCGTATCAGGGACATACGCTCTTTAAAATTTGTATTTACAATATTTACAAGGGGTGAAATAACGTCTTATCTCTCGATCATCTTCCGCATTTAATGCCACTTAGTGTGATTATTGCATCGATCCACTTCTCTCTCTCTCTCTCTCTCTCTCTCTCTCTCTCTCTCTCTCTCTCTCTCTCTCTCTCT